CTAGAGCATAGTATAATCAAGGTTGTCTGCTGTCAACGTGAGATTTGACTTGGCATTTTTATTAAGTGACTTTTATGCGTTCAATCCTTTTCCTTTAGGTGAGCTATCCGACAGGTCAGCCCAGGGACAAGCTTTCTGTAACATGGGATTCGCTCAGAGCCAACTCGGAGAACATAACAAAGCTGGAGAAAGCTTCAGTCATGCAATCCAAGCAGCTAAGGATTCAGCTGATAAAAGCGGCTTGTGGCAAGCTTACGAGGGTTTGGCCGCAGTCAGTTTTCTTAAACAGGACTATGACAAGGCTGTGGAGAACTATAAGTCAGCTCTGTCTGTTCTTTCAACTTCTGGGGACGCTGATCCTGAACACAATAACAGGATTGTCAGTAAACTTGCTAATGCCTTGGAATGCCAGTTGGTTCTCGCCAAGAGGTTAAATGGAAAGCTAACTCCCTTAAGACTGGACAGCTTGAAGGGCGATCGCTCGGCAGACAAGAGTGACCGCAAGAGCAAACGAGTGGGAAAAACCCGCTCCAGACAGGAGCACCACCAGCTGATAGCTCGTGGAATTGACGGAGATCAGACTCCCTCAGAGTCGGAGGATTCTTTTGATGGGTCTTCAGAGGAATCTAATGATGATGAAGAAGAAAGTCAGCATGACGAACCTGACAAGGGAAAAAGGCGCGGCCCACAGGGAGTGATAACCACAGAAGCAGAGGTTCATCACGAGAGAGCTTTAATTTCTAGGTCACAGAAGAAGTCTTCGACGGATTCGAGTGTAGAGGAAGCGCCTGTGAGGGAGGAGGGCAGCGCAAGGAGAAGTAAAAGACATCGTCATTCAAGAAAACCCAGAAATACATCGCGCAGAGAACAACTAAAATCCACGCAGGAAGAGCACATCTATGAAGAGCCACCGAATGACGTTGATAACTCAAGAGTATCCGGTAGAGATTTTTCTCCAGCAAAGAGCGACTACTCTGATGACATGCCGCGAGCCCATAGAGAAGCTTATCTGGCGTCAGTACAGGCTGCTAAAGGAACCAGGTCATCTCCCAACGGTGCTGGAGTGAAAAAAGACGAAGAAAGCGTGCAGTCCAGAACTTGTGTTATTCAGTAGTAGAATTATGGAGACTACTACAACTACTACATATGCGAGTGAAATTATATTTTTTAAAGAATGATAGCAACAGAACATAATATTTTTGTAAAGTTCGTTTTTGCATTTATACTTCGTTATTGAGAAGGGGTGCTTATTATCTTTTTTTCCAGACTTTGCTTAGGTTCGCGATGTGAACATGTTTTGGAACGTTAAGGTGACAGCAATATTTTATGGTGTTCGTTTAGTAATTAGCAGGGGTGTACCAATCGCGTTAATTAACAATGCAAAAACCGTCAACAAACTTTACCTTTGAATTTCTTGGTGAATGGTTGATCGTTTAAGAAGCTGTAAGGGAGACTTGAAATCGAGTTTAGAATGATAGCTAAAAACGTTGACACATAAACGTTAGTCTAAAAAAGTATTCTGTGGGATGAAAATGTTGCGTCTCTTGTTTGATACTGGTTTCTTGAAGGTATTTTTAATGTTACTGTAAAGCAAAGAAGTTGTCCTTTCTTGTATTCAAGTAAACCTGTTCTGATGTACTCTTAATAATAGAGTGTTATTTGTTTTTTGCCTTTTACACGATGAGATTTAGCCTGAGAAGCCAGCGGACAGTTGGCGAACCTACCACTGGTTTCCCCGCAAAATGACGCCTGAGAAACGAGCGCAGAAATTCCATACTGATGACGTGTCACTACCCAGATCTGGGTAGTGACGGGTCATCAGTATGGAATTTCTGCGCTCGTTTCTTAGACGTCATTTGGCGGGGAAACCAGTGGTAGGGTCGCCAAAAGACGGCTGTTTTCTCAGCCTAGATCAGATTTGAAATTCGTTGTGCTTTTGATTGAAGGCTCTCTTGGAGGATAAAAAGTTAATCTTCCTGATGGAAGAATTAAATGAAAGTTACCAGCAAGTGTATTGTAGACGTCTTAAATTATTGAGGTTCAAATAACAAAATGCTTTTAAAATTTGCACAAGAAAGCAAAACCCTGTAGGATTATCTGGTGATAGTAGTAAAATGACCGCATCGTGCAAATGGCGTATGGGCTTGGATCGAATGTTAACGATCCTAACGATCCAGGCCAATTTTAGAAGGATTCATATGGAGTCATTGGAGCTTAACGTTGCTCATATCTTCCGGCACCAATTTGCACCAACAGGCTGATTTTTAGCAAGTTAACAGTTTCTTCTTGGTCTTTCTGGAGGTGCCAACCAATCCCATGATTTCATAAATTTAATTTTTGTAACGTCATCACTTCTATTCTCTATAAACCAGTTTCAAATTCAAAGTTCTTATTTGACTCCAAGGTTGAGTGGAATAAAACAACAACGAAAAAAAAGAATATTCACCCCTGAATCTCCTTACGATTAGCCTATGATTTCTTTCGATTTATAGAGCGTTTTCACATGACATCACGGCAACCACATTGGTGTTCCAAAACAATGAAACGGTGGCCATGTTGGTGTTCCATCCAAACCAATCCTGTGGGAGTTGATCTCTTTTCTTATGTAAACATTTTCTTTTGTTCTCATAAATTTGCATAGATGCTGGTCACGTGAGTGAAAACTCTCTATATCCTAGGACAAGTCGCAGCGACAATTGACCACTACAGAAAATACCATAACATACCAAAATGCTCCTTGTTTGTCACCCCAAAATTTTGCATAAGCATTGTTTTCAGTTTCTTTTGGGGTCATTTTAACTTCCAAGAGAAACCGAAAACAATGTTTATGCAAAATTTTGGGGTGACGAAAAAAGAGCATTATGGTATGTTATGGTGTTTTCTGTAGTGGTCAATTTGCTTCGTGTGAGCATAGCTAATATAGTTGAATGGCTTTAAGACCCTTTACCAACGAAGGCCGTCAGATTCTTTTGTTATATGTTTTTGTTAGCTTTTTGACGCACTTGACGTTGACGGTGGACAACCCTCAATAGTATTCCGGATCTTATTCACCAATAAGAACGTGCCATTAATTTATTCTCTGTTGACAAAGGATTGTGCATGGTCAGGAAGTTCCCAACATAAACCGTAGCATTGTTTTTATCTATGATAGTTGCGGTCCGTTCATTATAAGGCTCCTCTATGGTGTGACATGGTGGATTTTCATGAAAACCTTTCCTCCTGATCGCTAAAATTCATCCTCCATACAGGTGCGATGTAAAGACCCGGATAAAGCAATAATCTAGAGTAAAAGAGCCTTATTTAACGGCCCCTAGGCCTCATTATTCCGCGCCACCTATGCGTTCCGGGACCGAAATGCGACTACAAACAGTCTCTCTTTTTTCAGTGAAGTCTGTCGAACGAAACGTGCCAGACACGAAAATAACCACGCGCGACTGAAGGGTGACTCGCGGCTTCGCTGCTCGACGCCCTCGCGCGCGTGTACTCCCTTCACTAAATCTGAAGAAAAAGAGAGACTGCACGTATAAGACCGAAATGAAATGATCGAGAAGGCCAGGGAAGACTCCGTACGGGGTAACAGAGTAACATGAGTAACAGAGATAAAGGGAGGGCATGATCGCAGGCTAGCGTTGGGACACTACACAAGTCTCAAACAGGTTTAAACTCGTTTTATTCGCAAGTAACATTAATCTACAACGTATTGTTTAAAGTAAAAATTACATATTTCATTAACAAGAATCACGCCTAACATATAGTACATGGTACAATGTATATTACTGTTCAGTTTCTTTCTTAATTATCTATCACTTATGATCTTTCTTAATACAAAATTATATTAAATTTAATTTAGTAATTCAAACATTGATTTCGAAAATATCTTAATATATATATTCTAAAAATATTTACAATTTATACACCACATAAATTAACACGTTTTAACGACTCAAAAGACCAAAGAAAAGAGGAATTCTCCAGTTTGTAGCTGATCTTAACAGTGCAATTTCGATTCCACACAATTATACTAACGAATAGTGGAAAGAAGCCTACAGTTAATCCCTAAATTATCCTTGAGTTTAAGCCCAAACCTGAAAACCAAAACGAAAAAAAGTTAAACAAGTAATTCTACAGGGGCACCCAACGAGAATATAATTCAAAACCACTTAAACATAGCATTGTTAAAAGTATTTTAGTATTTAAACGGGAGATATAGGCATACTGTTATCTCCTGAAAATTTTCATCTGTTCGGATTTCCTAACTGAGAGTCTTGTGATCCGAAAATTCTCGGGATCAAAACTTACCTTTTCAAAACTTTCAGCGCGAAAAAAGGCTCCCGAAAATTCTAGGTGACCTTTTTGGGGTAAAAATCCGTTAAAAATTGGCAGTTATTCCATTTTTTAGATGTTCGAAAATCCTAGGCGAGGCAGGCAAGCAAGAAATTTTACAACAAATGATCCGAAAATTCTAGATCTCAAATCGTCTTCCGAACAGATATTTTCCGAAAAATGACGTTGGGTGCCCCTGATTCTACACAGAAACGGAAGGTATGGCGTGAGAAATAACGTGGTACAACAAACTCCCTTAGTTATTTTCTCCATACTTTGAAAACAACGGTCACGAGTATTTAAATTTTAATCAAAAGTGGCCAAGTGGTCTTCAAGCATGGAAGCAAAAGTCAAAAATCAAAGGAAAATCACCTAATGAACGGAGTTCCAATCTGACGCGCGTGAAACGCGATGAAAGCACAAACGGACCAAAAAATAAGCAAAACCAGAGACCGAAGTATATACAGAAAGCTAAAAAAACACTAGCAGAAAAAAGACAAAAACAAACAAACAAGTTTGCCAGAATCCTATGTTAATACAAATGTTTGAAAATCCATTTTGGGATATGAGTAGCGAAACGCCAAATGTGTTATTGGATTGAGAATCCAGATTTGGACTTTCGCGCAGAGATGCAACTCAATTTCTAGTTTACTAGCTGGAACACAGGTTTTCCTTTGTGTCTTACTTACTCTTAGTGTATTGTCCCAGCTTCCAGTGGCTACAGCTGTCCCATCTGGCGACACCTCCAGACAACTGATTCGGTTATCATGGGCATAATACACCGACAGCTGCTCAGACTGTAAGTTTAATCATTAGTGGTCATCAGCAAATTTTATAGCCTGCGAAAACATCCGTTTCTCCTCGCTCTTCGCCGCTGGGGACGTTTCACGCGAAGGAACGACGTTCCTCCGCGCGAAACCTCCCCAGCGGCGAAGAGCGACGAGAACCGGATGTTTTCGCAGGCTACAAATTTTATCCTCGTGAAATAGATTATTTTTTTTACGAGAGATCACTATTTTAGAACTGCAATGATAATATCAGAATTTTCACACACCTTGAGGGTATCCCATACATTCATAGTGTAGTCATGGTAACCACCAAAGAGTAATCTCCCTAAGGAAAAAAAAGTTATATGTAAGTCTTTCTCGTCATTCTTTTTTTAATTTTAAAAAGAGGTCTTACTGGCCACCTACCGCTTATAGAAAAGTCTAAGGACGCGGCTCCAAAAATAATGTGTTCTTTAGAGTAAACAGCAAGTTCATGGTCTGCTCTTAGATCATATAGACGACACTAAAAAGGACAAGTAAAACACTTGGTAAGAAACTTTGAACAACGAAAAACTGCAACAACATCATCAGCCTGGGAATAAAGATGTTGTTCCATAGAAGATACCACTTTCCTTTTCAGGCTGCAAACACAGCAGCAAAGCAAAATCGTACAAATTACAAACAATAATTACAACAGTAACTAAAAATGAGTACTTTTCCAGAAATGACATCACGACTTAATAGAACAATAAATCAATAGCCACGGGTCACTTTGACTTTCACTGTGCACAGGTCGTCAAAACATCAGCCACTGCCACTAACAGTTCCATATTAGTACCATGATATTTAACCTTATGTTATTGTTTTTTTTTGGGGGGCGGGGGGGTGGAGAAGGGGGTCGAGTTAGGAATACTTACAGTGGCATCATCAGAAGCAGTGCCAAACGCTTCTCCACTGGGATAAAACCTACATGTAATTAAAAAACATAACAATCCTTAGATGAAGTATTACTTTATCTGTCCTGAATTTGGAGCATTATGCCATGTAGTGTTTATTGCAGTGGACCCTCGCTGAGGCTCTCACTGCGTTGAAATGAGATTTGGAAATGTTGGTTCTTGACGTGAGAGAGAAACTGGAGCCATGGAAAAAATCTTTTGAAAGAAAGGAAAGAACCAACAACAAACCAACCCACATATATGGCAAACCCCGGCCATATTGGTTGGAGGCTAGTGCTCTTATCACTGAGCAACCCTTGCTCTTACTTGTTAAGGTGTCGCCAAGGAAAATGTAATTAAAAAAAGTAGTGAGTATGCAGGGAACATGGCAGAAGAGCTCTGGGTCGAGATTGGGAACGATCTTATCCCCTTCCTCTCATTGTGCATGCGCCAGAGGTGATAATATTATGCAACCACAACCACTTCAAGAAAATTATTTCTAAGCTAGACAGCTATTCTGTGGTGTGAAACTGCCGCTTCTTTTGTTTGGTATGGTTTGGGGTGCACAGCAAGCAAAAATTTTTGAGGTAGGTTTTGGACAAGAATGATAGATCAAGTTTGACACTTCCACATTTCTTTGGTTTTTAAGTGTCATTGTCACTAAGGACCAGGCAGGGTCCGCGGATCGAGGTCGGCCGATTACCTCCAAATTTTCAGCATTTTTTCTCTATCAGATAAGATTACGATCGGTGGTATTTTTAGTAAAATAAAATTATAATTTTATTTTACTAAAAATACCACCGATCGTAATCTTATCTGATAGAGAAAAAATGCTGAAAATTTGGAGGTAATCGGCCGACCTCGATCCGCGGACCCTGCCTGGTCCTTAGTGACAGTGACACTTAATGCGTACCTTACTCCATTGATATCAGCCTCATGTGTCTGGAAAGAATTAACAGCATGGCCAGTCCTGATATCCCAAACAAGGGCTGTGTTATCACATCCCTGTAGACCGCAATAATTTACGAAATAAATACAATGACATGGAAAACTGGGGTTATTTAAGGGGTAGTATTGTTAGAACTCCCTAAAATTTCGGGGCCATGATAAAAAAAATAATACAACCACTGGAAAAATTGGAAGTTAAAGTTTGCAGAATTAAATGTCAAATGGAATTTAACATCCGAGCATTTACTTTGTTTTTTCTTCATGCGTCATTACAGTCAAACCTAAACACTTAAAATATTGCGGGAATGTTCATACTGTTATATATGACCAAACACAGCCAAGATAAGGACATGCAAACCAGCTTACAGTTTTCCCACGCCTGAATGGCGTATTTCTTGCCACATAATAAGTATCCCAAAATATTTCTGGTGTTCATGGTTTTGGTTTTTATAAAAGATCTAAAATGAGTACCTGTTTATTAACTGACATTAAGTTAATGCTGTCTAACTACTTACGCCAGAAATGAATATATTCCTTCCTTCAGATGGAGTAAGATCAATACTGTGAATCAAAACAAAGGAAAGAAAAATGGGTCACTATTGAACATCAGCATCATTTATAATAAAAAAATTTGCAGTCCTCATTTAGCAACTTTACAACTCCTAGCCTAAGAAAACAGTCAACATTTCTTGTTGCCACCACTGGTTTCCCCAGAAAATGACATTTGAGGGAACAAATGCAGAAATCCTATACTGATAACGCATCACCACCAAGATCTAGGTGGAGCTTCTTATTTGATGAAGCAAATTTTCAAGCAATCAGAAGTACTACCCAGATCTGGGTATAGTGACATGTCATCAGTGGCATTGTGAAATGTTAGCTGTTTTCTCAGGTTATACCACTCCTAGCTGTGTCTCAAGTGCCAATAGGAAGCTGAGGCCTACTGAATTAGTTCTTGAGGAACATTTACTTTCGTTGTCTGACCAAGGGTGACGGTGACATTATGACACAATCTGCATTGTGATTGGCTGCATAAGAATACAGTTTGTTAGTAACTATCATAAATTTCCTGCATTCCATTCCAGCAAGCACGCACATTAAAAAGGTTAAAGCTTCGGTTTGCTTGTTCTAGGTGTTCAAATGGTAGGAAGTGGCGCAAAAAAAAGCACAGAAAATTCGAGGACACTGACTCCTCTCTCCTTGTCCTTTATTTTCATTTTTTTGCACCGTTTCACTTCACACCACTGCCTTCTATCTGAACACCTAGAACAGGATACAGACCTGGGTGAACAATTTCAGCTAAACCTGTCTATTTTGTCATCCAGTCCGATAAATTAGTTTCTTTCTTTTTTTTTCATCTAAAACCTTCAGTTGCATGGTGCCTTATTTATTCAGAGGACTGGTCTATTTCTTCAAGAGGTTTTTGGCCTATTGGGAAATTATGTGCATAGTCTCTAACACTTTCTGCAGTGTCAGCGCTTTTATGTTGAAACCTCCTGAGTTGTGATAGTAATTTTTCATATTATACCTCATCACATCAGAAGCATGACCATGAAAACTTTGCAACAACTGTCCTGATTCAACATCCCACAGAGCACATGTGGTGTCACCACTACCAGTTAAGATCTGCAACGATCAGATAATGATTAACAATTAATTGCCAAAGCTTTTAAATGAACTGAACCATGTCATTAGTGATGCACACTACTATATTGCTGAAAAGAAAAATGGTAAAAGGAAATAAACACTAGCGTTGGGAATCAGCTGAGATTTCACAATTGATCATAATTTGGAAATAATTCGATTGACCCACCCAGTCGGTTATGGATTATAATTGGAAAAACCTCTTCACATACAACATGACAAAAACATGTCACCAAATGTATCAGAAAAGGTACATGAGTGGATTTGACCCTGTTTGCCATAGAGTTCCAGTAGCTAAGCAGGTAGAGTGGGCAGGTTGTGAGTTTTATTCTTGCCTGAAGCTCAGAATTATTTCTGTGCTTTTGAGTGATTGAATTCTCTGTCTGCTTTTTAATCATGAGACTATTAAAAAGACAAAACACAAGTTTTTATAATTCCTTTTTTTGCCAACAATAAATTTTTATTTTTGTTTTCCTCAATGATTGCTTAGACATTTTCTAGAATTTATTATCATGTCGCTCATCGATGATTGGCACCCCACCAAAAAACATAGTATTTATTAATATTCCCACCTGTTGATCAGAGTTTGTAAATGTGCAGCACGACATGTAGCTAGTATGCATGGCAACAGTTTGCTTCTTAGTAGCACCCTCATCGTCCAAACTCAGTTTAAACAAGGAGCACTTGTTGTCAAGTCCCCTGAGTTAAGAAAAGAATTCAGGAAAAATAATTTGTTTACAGTTTTCAATAACAATTTATTAATCTACAATGTCATTATTGATTTGTAAGATTACTGATAATGAATCAATATGAATTTGATTTCATAGCCAGGGAATACAGTCACCTCTAACCACTTCCTACAACTGGGGACATTTTGTGAGGGACACCTCTTCAATCTGATGATCTATATCAATGTTCTCATGATAAAATGTAAATATTTAAGTTGCTAGTTTGTGTTTTTCTATTAGTGTAAAATTTTGAATCCTGCTCTGAACTTGGTGCAAGCAAAATTCCAAAAGTGTAATTGATAATAAAAAACGTGATATTCATTATTCTTAGGAAATAAAATGTGTCTTGGTAAATTCAGCACATTGTACTTTAATCTCAGTGATCTTCTGTCTTAAGAATGTTTTTCATGTACAATAGCTAAAAGAATCCAAATACTACATCAACCAATCAGAGCTCCAGACCAGATTCTGGACATAATTGGCATGCATCCCTAGTATGAATTTTTGGGGCCAAAATAATGCACATTCTCTCTTGCAAAACATTCCAATAGCAAGGAGCAATAAGAGGCGGCTGTATTCACAAGCTACTCGGTACTTGTATGTACAAATATTGATAACAACTTTTATTTTAAGAGGGTGACACCAATTGCTATAAAGTATTCTCCCTAGTGGCCCTTATTATTATTATTATTATTATTATTATTATTATTATTATTTAAAAACAAAAACAACAGAAGTACTATCATTACTATCATGATTATTATTAAATAACTAGGTGAACATCATGAAAGCTCAAGAGATCTACAGTTTGTTATATAAATTAGAAAACTGAATTTAAACTGAGAAACTCAATTCTTGATTTATTTTTCGCTATTATCAACTTACCCACAAGCAACCATGTGGCCTGATGGTGAAAAGGCACAAGCCATTACCCAAGTTGTTGGCATGGAAATTGCATGTTCCTATAATACATATTCAATAGCTTGATGTAAACAATAATAATACCACAAAGATGAATTAACATTAGTTGAAAATGAATGATTATTTTTTAACTTAACCTCATAAATTAAGTTATGGATGCACATATGAAGTTTGGACAGCACAAGAGAAGCTTACGAGTATGTTATAAGTCAAATTTACATCCAGGTTAAACTTTTTTAACCTGGGGTTGATTCTCAATTTCCTTTGTCTCCCAGCCCTAACAATTATTCATGAAAATAGGATTACTTTTTACCTGAACAAGACATGATGGACTTGATTACCTGATTAAAGCATGCTATTTTCTTTGCACCCTATGTAGCTACAAATTTTGTAGCTACCAGTAATTATAACCTAGGCCTTCTTTACCTTGTTAGTAGTAAATGCATCCCACACAATCACTTTGCCATCCTGATAAAATAAAAGGAAAACAAAAGTTCAAAACAAATTAAAACATCATTTAGGTATTAGACAATTTTCCCCTCAAGACGTTTTAACCTTTCTGCCTTTGAACAAAATCTTGTTGTATATTACCGTAGTTTTATTGAGCTTGTTACAGTTACGAGAATAAATGCCTCTCTCTTTTAACCCTTTAAGCCCTAAGATCCAGTGATTAGCATTAAATTTCTCCTTGCAATATCAATGCTTTGTCAAACAGAGTGGTCATGAGAATTAGGGACATGATCACACAACATGAATTTGTTTGATTTTATCAACTTCTCCCCACTACTTCTGTAGGAAATGAATAGGGGCAACAAATGATAATTCAAATTTCGATCTTAGGGTTAAAAGGATTAAACACCTACTATCTATTAAATGCCTCCGCTTAAACCCCCGTTAGACGCCCTAGGCGTTTAATAGGTCATTTACGGTACCCCGGGTAATAAGAACTGGGTATTACACCTGTGAACTGCTGACCATACGCCGTCTGTCTTGTGCCCAGTTTAGGCAAAGCACCTTTCCTTGATGACCTTTGAGAATTCTTCGCACTTTGAGAGGTGTGAAAACCAGAGTTTCTACTTTATCAGCCACCTCTTTTACTGCAGATCAAAGATAGACACTGCTTGTTAATAATAAAAAAAAAACTTGCATCATACTATCATCAACTTAAATACAAGACCTTAAACAAAGATTTGTTAATACAAAATCAAGTAAAAATAAATGAGAAAATCAAACAAAATTTTAGTGATGCCAAGATACCACAATATGTCTCACAGAAAATAGCTTAGGTCACATTGAGTCAGCCAAATTATTTCCACAACAACAACCATTTTATATGTACCCTACATTGATTTGAATGATACAAAAAAATGGATAAAATATGGAGAGAGTACAGGCTGCCCTTAATAACCATTGAGGGCTAAAAAGATAGGGCAGCCTTACTTAGGCTATTAATAAATGATTATATTAAAGAGTTACTGTAGCCTTTCTTTATATTAGTCTGGTCATCTGAAACCCCAGGCTATCCCAGATATCTTATAAAAAACACTATATATATTAATAATGTCATCAATCACTTTTCTAGGAAATGATATCAAATTATTCCTCCAGCTAATCTCGCTGATTTCTATACCCTATCACAGACTTTCATTTAGATTCCTGGGCCTGGCTCCTGAAAGGCCGATTAGCACTAATCCAGGATTAAAATTTTGTTCCACTTTTTGCATTTACCTTCCTACAACCAGTTGCAAAAATGATGAAACACTCCCACGGAAAAATGACCTTTCTTGCTTCAAATCGCTCCTGGTCACAGGTCTGTAAAATATAATACTGACCTCCCTCCTCCCTCCAATTCAAAGTTGTTCCTCCACGTTTTGAGTATGGTCTTGTATTGCTAGCAACTTTGATAAGGGGTGGAGGGGGGATCACAAGCACAAGATCATGGACAGGCCATTTATGCCAAAATACGGTACAGTGTCTCAAGTACTTTTGCAACTGGTTGTAGCATTGCTTAGAGCAACATTCTGTGTTATCATTTCTTTTTTTCGAAGTAAAGGCACAACAGCATTTTGTGAGCTTGAGTAACATGTTCTTAGACAAGAAAACCTTGCTTAAAATTTGGCTTAATCCTGGGTTAAACTTAACCATCTTTTGAGGAACTGAGCCCTGATGACTATTCTATTTAAGAGAACCTTTGCTGATGCATGAGCTTAACTCATAAATTTTGCACAAAAATAGAACATGTATACTAGAAATACATTATCGCAAAATCCTCGTGAAGCTTTAAACGATCAGCAGAGAGAAATAAAGGGAAACAAGCCAAAGGGAAAGAAAATGATCAAAAAACTAAAAAGAAAAAAATGTACAAAGTTTAAAAGTATGGCTTCCCTGGGATTCGAACTCTATCCCAGAATCTCCTATATGTGAGGTAACATCTTTGTTACGCTAAAATAATTATTATTACACTTAAAGCATTTTTCTCTGCCGTGAACACCGTTTGAAGTTGTTGGAGCTGTATTTATCATGAATTCAAAGATACATTTGAGGAAAATCAACTTAAAGGCATATTTGAGTAGAGATTCCAACCCTCCTGTTTTGGCCGGAAATGTCCGGTTTTTGCTTAATATTCTCCGGGTTTTTGAAACTCTTCCTTTCTTTGTGTAAATTTCAAAGCCATTTTGCATTATTTCGGTCTTAATTCACTCTCGGGTTTAACGGCAGATGGATGTACGGAGCTGAAACCAGTCTTTGATTTGATCAATTTGTCACATCGACCGGTGGGGAAAGAACCAATTCATTGTTGGTTTGCCTCGATATAACATAAATTCAAAGGTACAGATTTTAGGGAAAAGAAGAGGTTTTGACGTTAAAAAGCCAAAGTGAAATGCTCTTTTGAATAAAACATGATAGTGCACCACAGCATTTGCATTTGCACTTGAAGTAGCGTTGCTTAGCATCCCTAAAATGCACCCCAACGTCAAAACTGGATGACGTCAACTGTGAGCGATCAATGTGCAAGGCATACAAATTTATAAACCTCGCGAGGCAAGGTACCTTGGGCGCCTCCCTTCGCTCGGAATCACTGTAAAAAGGTGTGAGAGTAAATAAGGAAATGGCTACAAAGACCTGTATATGTGACAGTCAGTAGTTTGTGTATTAAACTGTAATATTTCTGGCTGCCAAAAATGTAAATGAGCTGCCCTATATATTTTTCACCAAATTTAGCTATTTTAACTTTGCATTACAAGGGTATTAAGGAATATTGGTAATATTGTGCTTTTTTTTTCAATTCCTTCAGAAGTGAAATTTCTGAAACCTAATACTATTAATAAAAAGGTATTAGGGAATAACACACATTTGCTAATTTGCTAAAAATGATATATTTAATGTGTACTGAATAAATTATCAATATGATTGGCAACAATAAAAGATTTGCCTATGCATGGCTACCAAAACAATATACAGGTTAAACAAAAGATTAATATGGCTCTAGCAATATTATCAAGATAGTCATAACTTTACTTCAAAATGATTTTGGAACTAGCTTTGGTATCATAAGAAGTCATTAATTTACCATAAAGAGTTCTAAAATGGATGGTTTAAAATTTATTATTACCCTTTTGAAGAAATTCATTCGGCTAGTGCTAATTATTACGAAACAAATTTTAAGAGTTCTTCAAACAAAAAGTTCAGTATTGCAGTTGACATTTTTTATTACCTTGCCTGTCAGCCATCATTTTCAACACTAAAAAAATGCCAAAGGTGTCAGGAGCCTTAAGTAGGTGTCAATTATGCAAATAATGTAAAATCACTCTGTCAAGCCTCCCACACGACCCCCCCCTTCCCCCCCCCCCTTCCTCTCCCTTCCTACTGCTTGGGGGTGGAATTTAGGTCTTCAACAAATGGTAGCAAACTGTCCAACCTCTTGAGTCTGTAAAGTTAGGATTTTTTAAACACTAATGAATTGCTAGGCTTGATTACCAGCTGCTATTTGGGAAGTGACCCTGTGCTCCTCCCCCACGGTGGAAATCGTGCCTAATGAATCAAAGGCATACTGTCCAACCTTTTGAGTATGTAAAATTGGGACTTTTTTTCAATAAGGTGAGTGCTGAAAGGGTGAAAGGGTGAGCCGCTAAGGGGATCTGGGGGCATTCTCCCCAGAAAATATGGAAAATTGGATCCTCTGAAATGCCATTTCTAGTGTTCTGAGAGGACAATTTTTGTCTAAGATGTTCACTAAATTGATTGCCATTTTATGCTTCTTTTTATTTGCCTGGTTTCACGTACAAGTACTCAATTTTATTTTATATTTCATGCGGTTTTAAAAGTTTTCTGGATATCAGTTTCAGTTGAGTATACTCCGTTGGAAAAATCAGAACAGATGTCAAAATCAGGATTTTTCCTATCCCGATTGCATATTAGTCTGGATTCGGGATTTTCAAGCAAAATTGGGAGAATCCCACAAAATTGGGATGATTGGACAGTCTGTACATGAGGGCTGAGGTTGCGACCTTTTAGGGGAGTCTGGGGGCATGCTACCATAGAAAATGTTATAAAAATCTTGACGCTCTGAAATGCTATTTCTAGTGTTCGGAGAGGTCAGTTTTCGTCTAAAATGTTTGCTAAATTGATCGTAATTTTTAATCTTCATTATTGTTTGCGTGGCTTTACATGCAAGTACTCCACTTTATTTTAAATTTATTTTGTGCCGTATAGTTTCCTGGGTATCAATTTCAGTTAAGTATGCTCTGTTAGGTGTCCTTCTATAAGAATCATAAAGAATTCATTTGAAAATATCAGAACAGATGTCAAAATCAGGTTTTTTCCTATCCTGAGTACATATTGGTCAGCATTCGGGATTTTTAAGCAAAATTAGGAGAATCTCGATGGTTGGACAGTCTGCAGTAGTGTGTCCAGCTGTGCCCAAAATGATGGCTCTTAACTTAGGAAGTTACAGCTGCTACCATTTAAATGCCTACCTTTTCAAAAGGAAGTTTTAGCTGTTTGAAGAAAACGTGAAGTAATGGAATCACAAATATACAATTTTAAAACAACATTTTCACTGTGTTCGAAGGGGTTTTCTTCTATCTCATGACTTATGTTTGTTTAAGGCTAAAGATGAAGACGATCTTTGGTTCCACTCAGTATCAAGCACCGAATTAAAAGTAGGAAAGGGAAGCACATGATGAGCTGCCAACAAAAAATGTTAAAACATGCTTTCAAAGCCAATCAGCTGAATAATACAAGTGAGATTATAAAAACATTTCACCAATTCTTACTTGGAATTCTTAGGATAAAAGGAAAAACACGTCAGGCAACTAAACGGATATTGAAAATTGCCACAATACTTATTTCGTTATTCATGTATCATCACAGTGAGCCTGTAAAATTAGAACTGAAAGCTTCGATCAGAGAGCTTCAATAGAAAAGCTTGTCACCACTTATTCACTACAGCAAGTTAGATCAGCTTAAATTACTATTGATGTAGTTTATTGATACAAACCTACGTTTCGGTGCAGAGTGTAAGGTGTTGTTGGCAGATTTTAGGGATCACAAAGCAAGCAGAAAGATCAATAAACCAGTTGGATGCTCTCTTTAAGTACAGAAAATATACGAGCTTAAAATAAGTAATCGATCGTATCTGGCATCAGTTCTACTTACGTTGCACGTCATTACATTTCTGCTTTTCCTCATCAATTTTCACTTTGAGCTGCTCCGCTTCTTTGCAAAGGGAGGCAAGAGATTCTTCAGACCCATCTGACGAACTTGCCGCCATCTTGAATTTTGACAATTTTATGCTAATTTAGTTACTTTCACCTCGAGCCTCAGTGCGCATGCGAAGTAGTTTCCAGGACAACAGTTCCAAATTCTTCAAATCCTGGAGGTTTCTCTCCTCTACCGCGTCTAATATCACAAGTTTTGAGCTTTATTTTGTGGATTTTTAAATTATCCTTTAAGCATGAGTTCAGATACTATTTCCGTCATGAGACACAACAATTCGTGTGGTAAAACTTTGTTAGACAACTGGGTTGAAGAGGTAAGTTATGTCACTTGGGCAATGTTAACATTTGCTGTACATGTCTAGAGACTTTTAGGCCTAATTTTCCTCTGAATTTACCTTAAATTGTGTCACTCATTGCTTCCTGCAGAGACAATGTGAGCAGTTTGATAAATCAGGTGAAATCAATGTTTCCGAGCTTCATAAACAGGGGCACAAGGTAGAGTATGGAATATTTTGTTAACCAGCTGAGATCAGCGGGCTCTACTATAATAGTTTTATTTTTTGCTTTCGTTTCGCTTGTTTATAGCGAAAAACATGACATGAATGAATGTATAAGAGCTGTTCAAATATTAGCGCCCTGACCTCAGTTTGAGTCAATTCCAGGTGCACACATGCCCCCCCCCCCCCCCCCCCC